CCCCAACGCCAGCAGCCCCACCTCTGCGTCCCTCCTCGACGCGAGCGGAGGTAAGTCAAAAGGAAGGCCTGCTCCGTGTAAGGCCTGGTGGCTTGTTGAGCGGCCACCACAAACCGTCAGGGGACATCAACAGAAATAATGGCACCGTCTGGGCAGTCAGCCTAAGACTCACGCCCCGGGTGCCAGCCCGGGCCACCATGTGGACAGAGGCCACGCAGCAGGGCGGCGACCCTGAGGATGGAGGGCCCGAAGGCGTTTGACAGAGGACCCCGGATTTAAGACAAGCTATACCGAGAAAAAGATTTAAACAGGAGTCAAGAAGGGAACAGGACGACAAAGTGTGCAGAGGCGAGGGACCGGCCCTTTGGAGGAGACGGCGGGGCTGGCGGGACTGGGAGGGTGAAGAGGGCCCTGGGAACACCTGGAAAGGCAAACCGGAAAGGGAGCCAAGAAGAGGCGAAGGCGGCAAAGTTCAAGTACAGAAACACCTGTGCCGGGTGTGCTCCCGGAGGCCTTGTGGGTGTCGCGCTTACTGAACACACACCTCCAGCGGCTGAACTTGGCTGACTCCCGTTTTTGCTTTTATACATCATTCTTCTCCCTTTTTATTTCGGGGGTGCTGCTGCGGAGCGACCATGCGTAAGAGAGGGAAGCAGAGGCCAGGCTGCTCCGGGTGCCTTGCCTGCTGGCCTCACAGCACGGTCGGCGAGAAAAGCACAGACTTCTCGGTCACAGCTGGCTTTGAGGCTCCCACCGAGGGAAAACCATGAGTGCCAAGGATCTAGAATTCTGTGTTTGCTGAGCAAGCAAGTAATTTTGCCTTAAAGAGGTGACCCAGTCAGCACAGGGGCATTAGCCGAGGAGGGAGTGATGTGTGGCCCAAGAACTAATAAGATGCATAGTATAGTACAAAGGGGTGAATGAGTCACAGACAGCGCTAACAAGGGGTGAGGAGGGATTTAACCAGGTGAAAGGGAAACGCTCAGTTCTGGAAGGTTTTAACGAGATTTAGCAAATGTGGGACACCAAGATGGGGAACAGTGCAGACGCTGTGACCAGGGCTAGAAAGACACTCATTTGAGAACATGCAGACGTGGCAATGTTAAAAGTGAGCAACAGTTAAGCCATTAGTCGGACTGGGAAATTACTAGAAAGAAAGGGTCTGGTCCTCAAAGAACATGAAGAATTGTCTGGGCAGCACAAGTTGTTGACTCTTCCTTACCACCGAATTTGTCTGCATTCTGCCATTCTGCTGCCACAGAACTGTTAGGAGGACGGTGGGGAAAGTGGTCTGGGGACTTGCTCTAGGGTTCGGGGCCCCAGTGCCTACATCAGGGGGTGCCCGACCTGCCTTCTGTCTTTGAACAGACTACTGCTGCCACAAACCCTTTTAATTCAAACCAAGATTTTTTTTTTCATTTTCAGAGAAAGAGAGAGAGAGAGAGAGAGAGAGAGAGAGAGCACGCGCACATGCACGCGCACATGCACGCCCATCGGGGAGGGGCAGAGAGAGAATCCCAAGCAGGCTCCACGCTGCCAGTGAGGAGTCCTACATGGGGCTCGAACTCACCGAACTGTGAGACCATGACCTGAGCCAAAATCAAGGGTCGGATGCTTAACCGACTGAGCCACCCAAACCATGATTGTTTTTTAAACTCCCCTCTCCCCGTGGAGGGTGCTCAGTGCTCTGACATATCTCTTTATCTCTCTCTCACCACCCCCCTACTAGAGACCAACAGCTCCACTAGTGGACAAGGCCACTACACCCCTGCCCCCCACCATAGGCGGACCAATAGCAAGGAGCTGGGAGGAGGGCAGGACTAGAAATAGGATGTCACAGCCCAGCTCAGTTCTCCTTTAATTCATCCATTCAACAAACTCACCCTGGGGATACAGCAGTCAATACCACAGAAAGATAAATTCATGCAAGTATAATACAAGTTCTCAACCTTGAACGAGCAACAGAACCACCTGGGGGGCTTGCTAAAACAGGCTGCTGGCTGCGCCCCCAGAATTTCACATAAAGCCTTCAATACACCTTAGGGAATGGTAAGCACAACACAAGCAGTATAACCACTCCAACGAGAAAGCTTCCAAAACTAGTAAAGAAAACACTACTATATTATGTGGGAATTGTTTAATGTCAATAATATGGCTCTTATATAAAACTAATAAAAAATTATCCTAAAACTTACAATAAAAAGCTCCCATATATAAAATAATGAATTACCTCCATTAAACAGAGTGTTGGCCTCTTCAAGGACTTCAGTTAGTTTGTCGCTGGCATTCAGTATATCCTCTCGGTTTTCTACGTAAAGAAATACAAGGTTTGGCAAATGTGCTCATCATTCACCAAGTCCTTAATAAAGTGGTCACCTGGGGTGCTGAGGAGTCCTGCCCCTGCTCCCTGGGGTGATTATTTCACACATCTCTATCTTTTTAACCAAAGCGTCTCCGAAAGAGAAAGGTGACTGTACCTTTAAGGAGCATGAACTTTAAAAGGGGCCTTGCTGCCTTTAACCTTCACCCAAAGGGCTCCACTGCTTCTGCAGCCTCCGAGGAGCGCTCCTAACAGTGGTTCCCAAACTCTGCAAGCCACAGGGACCCCTGGTGGGCCACCCGACAGATGGACGCGCCACCCCGAGTTTCGGAGTGGGTAGGTCCGGGGTGCGGTCCTGGTGCGGGCCATTTCTGACAGCTCCCTGGTGGCGCCGCCCGCGCTGGGCGGGCGACCCCTCGCGGGACCCACCGACTGCCAGATACGACACCCGGGGCCCGAGCCCCGCCGCCACTCCTTCCCGGCCGTCTGGGTTCGGGCGGCGCCGTCCGGCCCCCTCGGGGCCCGCGCGCCACCGCCAAGGTCGCGCGGCTCGCTCCACGCGACGGCGCGGGGCCACCCGGCGAGCCAATCGAGGCGCGGCCGGGCGGCGCGGGGTGGGCGCGGGCTCC